GGGAAGATAATATGGTAGCAATACTCTCACAGGAGAAGAGAAAAAGAGAGGGACAACGGTATTCCGAACCTGTCTGGCAAAAAACTGGTTTCTACAGTGGGATCTTTCCCAAATTTTCTTCTTACAGGATTCTCCAATTCCTTGATTTCTACGTGAAGTATGGACTTGGTTAAAATAGAAGTATGTACCAAAAAAACACTGTAACACTAGAATATACTGTTAGATTGAAACAAAGGCCATCTAAGTTAGCCCTAGCCCACCAAATACACAGTGAAGTACGAATGTTTGTTGTTAAATACTACGTAGAAGAAGGACAATAAAAAACATGTTCTGTCTGTGACTGATATGGAAATAAACATTACCATTACAGACTAAAGAAGCATTATTAGAACCAATACATACTGATATCATCACGGGTATTCAATAGTTCAAGCGTGAAGAAATGAGCGCTTACTGTTTTCCTCGTCTTCCTCTTCATTGCCGTTATCAAAATCATCGGAAAACGACAATCGAGGGTCTGCTTTCACTTTGCGCTTCTTTAGCTTTTGTAACAGAAGTTCCTCCTCCCTAAGCAAAATACATGGTAGCATATTAAATAGAGACCGTATGGTGAAATGACCCCTTATATTTGGCATGTATAGCACACTCAAGAAAGATTAGCTCACTCTTGTTGCAACTTCTGAAGCTTCTCCTTCTCTTCCTCTTCAATTTTAGTCCTGATATTGACCCTCTTTGATACATAAGTCCAAATATAATGTGTGTAAGACAGCCATTCAACAAAGTGCCCTCATTTAACTATCATAGCATCAAATTTTAGAACCAGAGTAGCTACCTTCTCAACGTATTCTTCTCTAGTAACAAGACCCACAGTTTCCTTCTTAAATGTGGTCTCCAGAATCTGAACAACGCAAAGTAAGCATAAACACAAACATACTGGAGCTCGAATTGCATAATTCATGGGAGTTTTATTTTAGATGAAGCTAACGAGGTAACTTCATAAAAGCAAGAGCCCTAAATTATGTTGGAATTGTTCAAGCTAAAGTACGGATAACAAGACCTCGGAGGTACTGGAGCCGAACTGAAGAAGGCCTGGCTGTCCTATAGATGAAGCGGTTTTGTTCTTGAGCTCCTGGATTTTTCGTCGTTCGGCTTCCCGCTGCTTCTCCAGCCGGCGGATTTTCACAGCATCTTGGGCAGTTCCGACATAACCATCTCCCATTCCCGCCATCTTTGCTTAGGATTTTAGAGCTCTACACGGCTTCAGGTTTGGATGTATCGAAATTTTGAATGATCAAAGTATACCTAGAAATATGAGAGAGGAAAGAACTGTTTATCAGCCTTTGCGTCCACTATTTTTAGTTTGGAGGTACAAAATAACTTTTGTTCAAATTTAACTTTGTATCCGATTTGTTTAAATATTTATTTTTGCACCCCCAATCCCGTATGATAAGACAAAATGTCTTCCATTAACAATTCAACATCTTTTCAACATATTCCTGATCAAGAGACATTTTTTCTTTTCATACGAGGTTGGGAGCAAAAAAAAATTGAAAACGAAATGCAAAATCCAATTTAGACAATAAAATGGGGTGCAAACTCAAATTACCTTGTTTGCCCACCATTTGAGTTGATAGTGTAATTCGCCTTGCAATTTTTTGTTCCTTAAATACTATCCTCCGTTCTCTTTTAATCGCAACATTGGACTTTTTGCACTATTCACATATTCTACTTTGACTATATTTTATTCATTAATATATTATAAATTAATTTTTTAAATAATATTATTAAATTCTTCTCATTCTAAATTTTCAAAAAACGATTTTTTTAAATTTTTTACCAATAAGGAATGAAAGATATTAATGGTCAAACGTGTGCATTGGCAAACGTGAAATGTTGACTGTTGCAATTAAAAGGGAACGGAAGAAGTATAAACTAGGATTTAACCCGTGTGTTGCACGGGAAAACATGTCGTCGAGAATGTAAATGGAACTACAATTTAAACATTCGAAGTATAGAATTTAACGTATAAGTGAAATCACATATGAAAATCATGTAAATTGATATACACTTCTTTGTAAACAACATTTAGAGCAATGTTGCTTGGTTGACCATCATCGTCACACATGACAAATTTTAACTCTGATGGACTTGTAGCTCTCGATACCGCAACGTATAATTATCCGTGAGTAAAAACCGGACGCCACAAGAATATACCAACCCTTTCTACCGATTGTCCTTGACTCTTATTAATCATCATCACATAACTAATCATAAGAGGAAGTTGTCTGCGCTGAGATGTGAGAGGGAGCTTCAAGTCCGTAGGCGTTAAACTAAGTCGGGGAATAAGATACTTTTCACCAGCATTTGATCGTGACATCATCTGAGTCTCAATAATATGAGTCCCAAGTTTAGTTACCATGAGTCTCGTACCCTTGCATAACCCAACAGTGTGATCTATGTTTCTCATAAGCATCATAGGCCCACCCACCTTAAGCTTGAGTTCATGACTTGGCACACAAGAACATTTGATGTTTTAGTAAAAAATTATGGAGAATGAATGTCTTGAAAGAGATCGCGATCTTAGTCAGAGGAAGATGTTGAATCGCAACTTATGTATGTCCTTTCCTCCCCTGAAATAAGCCCCAACATGTAATCATTGACCTTGTCTCGCTCATCAATCGTAGGTGCAAGAATGAAATTAAATGACATCCTTATGAGTCAAGAAATCTGGATCATACTGTTAACAATGACTCAATGGGATCATCTGTCATTGGAGCAAGAAATTTGGCAGGTATGTGGACTTTTGATTCCCCACCCTCATTGACTCCCAAAATACAATCGCCTATCTTCAAAATCCAAACTGGAAAGCGCTCTATGTCAGCTGCGCTGGATGATCCAGTCACATGTTCAAGCCTCGTGTTCCTTGTCAATTTCAACACCCTACAATATGACCATAAATACGGTGAATTTAAAGACGCTTGGACAATATCTTGCCATGTACCTTTTGGAATGACTAGCAAATACAATAATTTTCCAAATACAATATATGTCGCAAGTCCCCACCAAATACAATAATTTTCCACCGAAAAGACATAGCAGCATCACACTCCGACAAGCGAATGACATCTCTCCTAGTGCGTTCTAGAGTTTCAAAACAGTGCTTACGCATCATTGAAGACTCATCCCAAATAATTAGTGTTGTCTGTTCAAGAAGTCTAGTCAACGAACTACCGTGTTTTATGTTGCACGTTGAGTCCTCTGTCACATTAAGTGGAATAGCAAACCTCAAGTGTGCGGCCCTTCCTCTGAGAAGGAGTGATGCAATACCGCTAGATGCCACATTCAATACTATTTTCTCCTCGTGATCTAATTGCCGCGGACAAAGTCCTCATAAATATGTTTTTCCCCGTGCCACCTTGTCCATATAAGAAAAAATCATCGCCACATTTGGGGTCGACATATTCCATGATTATTTCGAAAACAACTCGTTGTTCATCTGTCATATCTTTCAACAACTTTTGAAGTTCTTCAGTCATTGCACATTTATCGTACTTCAAGTCATCGTGGATGAGAATGTCCTCCATGTTTGGAATATAAGAATTTGGGGACATTGGCATTCCAACGTAGTCACACAGTCCTCTTTGTTGAAGAAGCTTCTCAATCTCCACTAAACGGTACTTCTGAATTTCTTCTTTGTCTAGTTCCAACTCTTGAAAATAGATGACACATGTATTCAATGTAATGTATGAGTCAAATAATATGAATTAGAAATAATTTTTAACCACGGAAGAACATTAAAACATTATGACTAATATAAACATGTACCTTGATCATGAAGATTCTTCCTCATATAGTATAATATGTCTTCAGACAAATACTCCCAACACTTTTCCCACACCGACTCAGACATAGTCATCGATCCCTACAGTCATCGCGCCATTACTGAATGTCTTGACTCTTTAATGTCATCTATCATCTGCTTGTAACCCGCGAACATAACATGCATTCCTAAATGTGTCATATATCTTTACATCTATGGTTCACACCTCTTCATAACTTCTTGTCCTTTTTACTACATTCAACAAAACTCTCAAGTAATATTTCTCACCAGCTCCGAGATGCACAAAGAACACACGCCCAACCGCAAACCCTTTTTTCCGTGGTGACCACTCCCTTTTTGATTTGTTTCATGTGAACTTAGATGGAAAGTCAACGTATGTCAACTCTCTAGTCTCCCGATAAATTTGATGATTTGCTCTCATCCAAGCTAGCTATAAACTTTGTAGAGTGAACTTATCAGGTTTGTAGTATACAGTTTGCTCTCATGTCAGATGAAAGCTTAACGGATCAACCGGAACATCCATGTAATGGATATGGTTTGAAAAAAATTCTCCATGCAACCTCACAAACGGAAATTTATCGACAATCATAGTACATCTTTATCTAATCGATCTTTTGTGGTTTGGCGCTGTCAGTAACTTCTGAAAATGAAACAGTTATTCGACCATCGTCTTTGTTTATATACTTGAAAAGATACTTGACTGACCATGATTGATTACACCACTCACATTAATGTGTGCTCCATACACACATGTTAATTTTGTAAAATGTCGGGTAATATTTCTTATTTTGTCTGTCTTCAGTTCAATGAGGTTTCAATTCCTCAGTGTATATACTTACTTTATGATTTGGAAAAATGAAACAGAAAACAAAAAAAATGGAAAATATGTTCAAATTTATAAAATGGAAAACTGCAAAATAGAAAAAGAAAAACATAAATTTTAAAGACTAGGGCCTAGTGCGAACAAGCAGCCGTCATTGGACAAAGCTCTCACAATCTCACATTGCCCGTGCCGAGAATTAATCATGAGAAATGCTAGGGGTACACAACTTGTACATAAAATGTCGGTTACATACAATTGTTACAGAGTTGCCTATAAGCACAAACAAGAATTGTCTGTATACACGGACAATTCTTATGTACCCGAAGCATTTCTCATTAATCATAGACCTCAATCCAAACAACTTCACTTACCCACACACCATTGATCTACCCATGCGGGTAGGTAGAAGCTGATAGACAAAACTCAATCCGTGGGGACTTCACCAAGACCACTCAACTTCTGACGTTGCTCCAACCTTAGTTTTTCGGTGATGGCGGCGGCGTCTCTTGCTACTCAACTCTCCTGCCCCACCACTCTTATTCGTCGATCTATTCCCGCTCTGGTCACTCTCTCAGCTACTCAATCGTTCAACGCCGCCGACTCTCATGTCCACCTCTCGCATTCTAGTAAAGGCTCCCGATCCGTCGTAGCCATGGCCGGCTCTGGAAAGGTTTTTTTCCTTGTTATATTTTTTTGGGAGAAGATGAAAGGGAGAAAAAGAGTTGGAACAAATATAAACTTGAATTATATACGTAGTATTCGAGAATTCATTTACTTTTTTTTAGAACACTAGAACACAAAATTTGTAAAGTTAGAAAAAGCATGTCCTGAGTTTATACCGGAGCATTAGAAAAAATATACCTTTGATGTCCAATAGGCAACCTGTATTTTAACTACAATTTCAAGGGTTTATTTATTCTTTATCTCTTTGCTATTATTGTTTTTTTTTCCCTGTTTTTAGCACCCGGACTTCACAGTTAAATGAATTCGCAGATTACGTGTGCATTTCTATCATGTATGTATTTTCACAAACATTATTCTAAACTCGATGATTGCTTTAAGCTTAGATGACTGGTGAGTGTCCTAACATAAATTGAATAAATATAAAATTTTCTTCAAATTACTTGCAGTATGCCAGCAGAAGTAAACTCACTTGCAACTAAATATTACTAGCTTCCTGCTGAACTAAATAACTAAATGATATCCAATTGGAGGTAAATATTTTGCTGACTTATCATTTTGCTGAATTCATTCGTTTCAAGATGCGCCAAGGATAAGATTCAAAGCAAGGTTCGACAAAGAAAAGATTGCCCTGAACTGAGCAGATCGATTCGCTAAACATGTGAGAGCTTTGAAGATTGATTCGGCCCTGAAAGCATCAATACCTCTACAACAACAACAACATCCAAACCTTATTCCCAAAAGATTGACACAAACCCACACCAGAAAACAAAGTAAATGTCTAATGCAATAAATATAAAAATTGCTATGATCATCTGAAATTATAGTAAAGAACTGCAACTAACTAAACTTCATCTTGAAACATCATCTTGGAGCCCCTCCTCTGAAAACCATTAGCTTGCCTCCATGAGACTACTGACTGAATCCACAGGTCCTTTACATCTGTTCCTCTAGACTGAACACTAACGACTCTAATTCCAATCTTGTATTCGTCAGTTTGATGAAAGTTAAGAACAACCTTCCAACTCCAAGCAACCCTTCCACTCTGAGGCGGTGGTTCAGGAGGAGATGAGTAATCAGTACAACCATAGGTAAGCTGGACTTCATGATACTTTTTGATAATGATAGATCTAGAATTGAAGGAATACCTATATCATAAGGAATTGAGAAGAAGCAAAAAAACAAACCATACATAACCAGGCTCTCCATCCCTACGCTTAAACAATACAGCTCCATATCCTGCTAGCTGCCTTCAAAGGAAGAAGAAAACCTCTTGCATCCAATCAAACCCTAAGTAACCAGAAAAACAATCGATTCTGCCTGCAAATCCAATCGCCGAAGAAAACGGCGCGCAAAAACCCTAGTCACTTTGACCTAGCTCCGCCGCTTCTAACTTTCGAAGTCTAGAAAAATATCCAAAATAACCGTTCAAATAAAAGTAGTTAAAAGGAGATATATTTTCATTTTATGGAAAAAATAAAAATATTTGAGGAAATGTGTCATGTTTTAAACCTATTTAAATATGTAGTAATATTCAGTATATAATTTCCTCTCGTCCTATAACAATTAGTCACTTTGATCATTTAGTTTTTTGTATTGTTGACGAGATACAACTCATGCATCAGAAATGATACTTATAATTTCAAAACTTTTTTTGATATTTAACTACAAACATATTAGACTTTCTTTACTCTATTTCCTTTCTAGATTTCTTGGAAACTGTCTTCATTCTACCAATCAAAACTCTTTTTGTACACACAATTTTTAAACTACAGGACTCTTCTTATGAGATAGAAAACATTCTAGGTAACTAATTAATTGTTTTCATAGTGTTTTAGTCTGTAATTGTGCACCTGATCAATTTGTGAAAAGGAATTTCGCTCCCACCCTAAACAGAAGTCTTGGCACCATCCTTTATATCATCATAATTAGAAACGGGGAAATGCAAATTGTTAAACACACATACTTTATGCTTACTCAATTAGATTTTGTTATAGGTCAATTATCATGCAGGTAGCAGTTTATGTAAAGTACCACTCAGTAGCATGGGATTCCTTGATAACTTTTTCCTATTTTTGGCATTATTGGTCACTACTCCATCCATCTCAATTTTGTGTCCCATTATTAACGATCAAAATTTACATGTTTAGAAACTACTCTAGAAGTTCTGTCGAACTTCTAAAACCAAATTTGAATATGATAAAGTTTGATACACAAAATTAGATAATAAAAAAGAATCAGCTTGACCTCATGAATCATGAAAGGGACAATAAATTTTGGATGGGAGGAGTACCTGGCTTGCTATTATTTACTGCTGGACTAATTGTGTCTGTGCTTTTCACTTGCAGTTTTTTGTTGGCGGGAATTGGAAATGTGTAAGTATTATCTATTACTCTATTTTACAAAGTATGTCAGTCTTCATACCCAAAAGTCCAGTTTATGGTGTGCTCTATTTATTGCCCCTTTGGGTTACTGTTAGAGCTTTTAAATGTAGTTTGGAAGGATATACTCCCTCCGCCACTTAAAACTTTGCCATCTTTCCTTTTTGGGACGTCCCAAATAACTTTGCCATTTTCCCTTTTAATCAATTATTTTGTGATTTCTGTTTTTTCTCTCTCCTCTGCACAAACCTCGACCACACAGTTTTTACGTTATTCTTCTCCGTGTCGGTCAACTTTGGCAAAGTATTAAGGGACGAAGGTAGTATTAACATCTATTGTAATCAAATACATTTTTAGTGGAAGAATTACTACACCCACTTCTTTCTTCATTTGGTATGCTTAGTGTACTGTATTCAACTTGTTTTGTTGTCTGTTTCTTTTTCTTTGACATTTGTACAGAACGGAACAAAGGAGTCCATAACCAAGCTAATCTCTGACCTGAACAACTCAAAGCTAGAGCCTGATGTCGGTTGGTTTCATCCTTTCTTTCAATTTTTCAATTAGATGTAACTTAAAATATACTAAGCACTTTATATATCCTTATATGATGTTCCGGAGATGTCTGTTGATGGTATTCTATTTATTGTTGCTCTGATTTGAATATCAACATAAAAAATTGTAAAATCAAAGTTACCTCTAGTAATTATTATTTTTCAAGTATATATCAAAATTTCTATCCTTTCAAATTTACAGATGTTGTGGTGGCGCCTCCTTTTCTGTATATTGAGCAAGTAAAGAGCAATTTAACTGATCGGATTGAGATTTCTGCTCAAAACTGTTGGATTGGAAAGGGTGGAGCTTTTACAGGAGAAATCAGGTGAAGCAACAACATTGCCTACTTCACTGAATGCTTTCATTAAAAATAACAAGAGAGTTCTAATTTTTATATGAGCCCTTTTATTCAAAAAAGTCCGCTTCTCATATCACAGCTTCAGAATTTCATGCTGTTTCCTTTGTTAGAAGGTTGAGATGAGAGGAGGATCCAGTGTAAAATTGTAAATCTTTGGTAGTGATTTTTTACATAAATTTGTAGTACATTTGTGGTCTCTGGACTGAGGGATCACAGGGACCATTGTTTTACTCTCCAACCATGTCATTCTGACAGCACTAGTCCACAGTGGTTTGAGCTCTAGGGTCTTGTTTATGGAAATGATAAGTTTCTTACATAGTCTGTGTCATCTCCATTTGCAGTGCTGAGCAATTGAAAGATATTGGATGCAATTGGGTCATTCTTGGTCATTCCGAGAGGAGACATATAATTGGAGAAAAAGATGAAGTATGAATTTTAAACTCGTATTTCCAAATTTTATCTTTGTATGTTCTTGTGTTACTTTTATCTTTTATCTTTCTTATGCTCTTTATATTTCTTATGTTCTTATGTTCTTTTTATCTTATATTTATTACGGAGTATATCTTATCCATTTTACTTTATCTTTTTATTCTTCTTATCTTTCTTCTCCTTTGGCTCTAGTATTCTGGATCAATTCTTGTTAGCCGACCCCAAAATCTATTGGGAACAAGGCTTGTATGTTGTTGTTTTTGATGATTCAGATATAAAATGAATGTTTGTCACGCCTTTGAAATTATCTTATGATCCTTTGGCTTGACTTATTATACAGTTTATAGGAAAGAAGGCTGCTTACGCATTGGGCCTGGGTATTGGAGTTATAGCCTGCATTGGGGAACTTCTAGAAGAAAGAGAGGCAGGAAACACCTTTGATGTTTGTTTCCAACAATTGAAGGCTTTTGCAGGTTAAACTTAGGAGTCTTTCCATTTCTTCTGGAAAGCACTTCTGTGCTTTTTGCTCACAAAAACTAAATAGTTATTTTAACTTGGTGCATCTGCATAACTTTAAGTACTTTGAAGGTAAAAGCATTAATCCAGGGAAGGGTGTTTAAAGCTGTTTTTCACTTTTTTAATTGTAATATTTCATCCATCTAATATACCCTTTTTTACCAAAACCCCCTGACTTCTACTTCTTAAAAATCACTTCTTTTTCAAAACACTACCGGCATTTACCATTCAGAACTTTCTCTATCAATCCTATAATCACTAAAACAAGCCACTTCTCAAAGTACAAGCAAACGCAAACACGGCCTTGTTAATTACAGAGTAATTTTACTTTGAACTTAAATATTTATGTTTTTTGATATACCATCCTTACCCCTTAACCTTGCCTCAATTGTGTAGACGTGTTTTTTATTCAAAGTTTTGCTGCTTATCAATTAGTTCGATGACACATGGCAGATGGCATTATAGACTTATAAGTCCAATAACAATGTGCAGACGCTTTACCAAGTTGGGATAATGTTGTCATTGCGTACGAGCCTGTATGGGCAATTGGAACTGGCAAAGTGGCCACACCTGAGCAGGCTCAGGAAGTGCATGCAGCTATTCGTGATTGGCTTAGTAAGAATGTTTCACCAGAAGTTGCTTCAAAAACACGTATCATCTATGGAGGTACTTGCCTTTCAGATTTTCAGTCCACACGCAAACCAAAGTTAGTTTTTGCTGAGGAATTTAGTGAAGTTACTCTATTTTACAAAAGGGGTCAACTTTTTTCAGGTTCTGTGAATGGAAGCAACAGTTCCGAACTTGCAAAGAAAGATGACATTGATGGATTTCTAGTAGGAGGCGCGTCCCTAAAGGTATTTTCCAAAACTCCACCATCTCCAAACTGGGGCAGCAATACTAATTCGTTGCTTGTGTTTCCTGCATTACAGGGTCCCGAGTTTGCATCCATTGTTAACTCTGTTACTTCCAAAAAGGTGACTGCTTGATTATTGTTACTCGATTTGGTTTTGGTTGTACGATAGCAAATAAATGGCCTGGAGAAATTTTTATAGAACTATTCATGTGTCATAAACTTGAAAAAGGCTTTACGGCCGGAGTGTGATGGCATGTAATTGCTCTGTTGTGTATTGCACTATTGTATCATGTGATGCTTTTGTTTACCGACACACCGGAGAAGAGATTAGGCCCGGGGCGTGAGTTTGGAGCAGGAAATGAAAAGTTTTAGAGGTTGTTAGATTCTAAAGTAAAGTGTTATGACTTTTGTTCGTTAGCCGCCTTTTAATTCATGGTTGATATCTTTGTTTTTGGTGTTTAAATATCATTTTATAATTAAGAGTCCGTTTAGTGATCCGGTTTTTCAGCTTATTAGCCAACCTTTTCATCCAATACGTAATTTTTTATTTCGCACGCTGAATTGTTTATTAATAAGAAAAAATATGGTTGAAGTTACTTTTCTGGTTGTATTGATTGAAATAATTGTAGAAGATCGTTTTAACTATTTTCATGTAATTTTGTCTTTATTTTACTAATAAAATATATTTTGAGTATGGTTTTTTCATAAATCAGCTAATATAATCACTTCAGCTAGAACTTCAAAATTTGTTACTAACAAGATCAGTTGATTTCAATGTTACTAAACGGACTCTAAATATGTTATTAAAGGGGCTCTAAACATGTCATTACCATTTAGGGATGGACTCGGGTCGGGCGGCCCGACCCGGAACTGGCCCGGTCACTGTTTGAACTGGCCCGGCCCGGCGGCCTGGCCCATGGGCGGTTTGGGTCGACCCGGCCCGGTGGCTACCGGTTCCGGGCCCGGGCCTTTTTTTTGGTGAACCGATCCGGCCGGTTCGGGCCCGGTCCGGGCCGGATTTAATTTTTTTTTTTTGATTTTTTTTTTAATTTTTGGGTTGGATTGGTTATTTTGGGCCATTTGAGGTGGTTTGGGGTGGTTTGGGGTTGAGGGGGAGGGTAGGGGGTTGATTAAGAAAACCCCAAAAAAAAAATTATATAGAACCGGAACCGGGCCCGGCCCGAACCGGAACCGGGGTTACCCGGGCCGGTTCCGGGCCTCCCCTACCTTGGACCGAGGCCCGGCCGGTTCAAGGCCCGAACCGGGCCCGGCCCGGAACCGGTCCACCACTATTACCATTCAATGCTACTAAGTTTTAGCTTTCTTTAATTTAATAAAAAAATGTAAAAGTTTAGTTGGAAATGTCTTCTGCCATACATTGTCACCGTACTATTCTTTATAAGAAAAATATTTTTTGGTAAACATAATTTCGACCTCCTTTAAACAAACAAATTAATTTTTTAAAGTCACTCAAAATTAAACAATGAGAGAAACATAAGGGACCCAAAGAATATTACTCGTACTTAATTAAATAATCAGATGCAACTATACAATTAAATAGATTACGTGACTTCGTGAACTCGACGACCGTAGAACTTTGGGCGATACTTAAAGGTCTTATTTGCCTATTTGGACTTGGAAGAAAGGATTACGAAGAATTATAGTCCAGAGTGACTCGTTTGAAGTGGTTGACTGGATTGAGAGTAGAACTTTTACACGAGGGCCTGCACGCAATCTTGTTGAGGCTTGTCAGAGCTGGCTGAGGAGAAATTGAGAGGTTAACATTTGCTGTATTATGAGAGAGCAGAACAGAGTGGCGGATATTCTTGCTAGAATGGGTAGAAATCAGATGATGAAGTGGATGGAATTTGAGGAACCTCCGGGTGAAGTGTGCAGTGCATTGAAAGAGGACGAAATGGGTTGTAGTTGGGCTAGAAGTGTGATTGTGAGAGGCCTCTCTTGAGGCCCGGGGTATCTTCTCCTCCATTAAGATCCAAAAAAATAGATTACTAAATTTAAAAAGGATGATATTCAGTTCCAAAAACTATTGAAATCTAATTAAGTAAGACGAGACCGAGTATCATGACTGATGGGTTGCAAGTACGGCCCGTAAAATGAAACGGATGGATAAAGAAAGTGTTGAGTAAATATATTTAAAAAATTAAATTGCAAAAAGTGAGATGTGAACAAATTAAATGCATTTCACAGCTTCACTAACCGATATGTTTGGCGCAACTAGCTGAAAAGATACGTTTGTGACATTTTTAACAAGTGTTAGCTTTTGGTGACTGAAAAGATCTTAAAAAGAAAAGGTGGTAGCTGTTTGATAAAAAATTGACTGTTTGATTTAGTTCGGTTTGGTATACAAGTTGTTAGAGTTAATTAATACGGAATACTAAAAGTCACGAGCTTTTATCAGATGCTACTTCTTGTAGCATCTCAAAAAAGATCTTTTAATTTTTGAAAAGCTCTTGAAAATTGTCATGCCAACCATATAGCTAGAAGTTTTAAAAGACTTTTTGAACAGTACAAAAGCTAAAAGGCATACTTCGTAATTACCAAATACGTAGTATAACCTAAGAGTAGATAGAGGCATGTGGTGGGGTGGTAACATGAAAAGTTTGTAGCAACCCCATATACTAACGTCATTCTTTCCCCTCAGATCGTATAATAAACACTGCATTCAAACATCTTTTCGGCAACCAATTAATTAATTTGGTAAAGGCATAATAGATACAGTTGTTGTCATGTTGATGGGTGACATATCAGTTTGGTATCATCTGCTGGAGTGAACTTTAGTTCAACCTCAAAAAGAAAGTAACAGGTTTGGGATATCGATCATAGCATATATTCTAAACTAAAGCCACACTTAGCTTGTTCCTTGCATTAGGAATTGCCAGTGAGTCGTAAAGGGAGGGAGTACCTTCCATTTTTAAGACCTTGCAACATATCTATGTTTTTATGTAAAAAGAAATTATAAGAATGAACCTTGGTTCCGGTTTTAGGACATATCTTGAGAGTTGAGATGGTAACCAAATTTTTCTCCAACCTAAACCACTTGTTACTTGATATTGGTGTAGTGAATTTGTATATTTGTGTAAAATGTAAATGTGTGATGTGAAGTAGGAATGGATTGGGAATCTGGGATGAGCCTACCTGACCCGCCACAGTTTAGGCCCAGCCCGGTTGTCCAGGCACGAGACCCGGCCCGGTGGAAGAGGCAGGCGGGCATCGGGCTCAAGTTTTAGTGAACCGGCCGGGCCGGGACCGGTCCAGATCTCAACGGTCAAATATTAAAAAAAATCTATTAAATCACCTGGACCCGACACTGTTTAGGCCCGACCCGACCCGGTATTAGGCCTAAAATCCTTAAGCCTGAAGCCCACCGAATCCCGTCCCGAAGCCCGACTCGGTGTTATCCCGGCCAGTTCATCCCTAATGTGAAGCTAAAAATATTGTGTCCATGAGAATCAAATTTGAGACACTTTGATAGGCATGGTTTGGTATGACAATTTCGGCAGCTAAAACAACCCTACCAGGAGTACACAATTTGGCTTGACTAGCGTTTTAATTTGCAAACATATACTACATCCGTTCTTAAATAAATGCAACATGTTGAATTTTACACTATTCACATGTTCTACTTTGACTACGTTTTATTTATTAATGTATTAATATTTTTTATGAAAAAAATATTGTTAAATTTATCTCATTGTAAAATTTCAAAATCTAATTTTTTAAATTTTTTACTAATACAAAATTATATATATTAATGGTCAAAGTTGTGTCTCGACAAGTGTGAAATGTTGCTCGTTGCATTTATTTAAGAACGGAGGAAGTACAAAATATATGTTAAGCAACTCTGATATGTACAAGATATTGGTTGTACAAATCAATTGTATATTTTCAATTGCGAACCAAACTCATCTCATAATATATTGATATTATATTACGTCTGAGTAACTTTGGAGGTGAAATTAGGGCATTTAACCATTGATGACCTCGCAACTCTCCGGGCTTGATTTAACTAATCATTAAATCTCATTTAGAAAAAGATTTTTTTAATAAATTAGTAAGTCTGCACTCTGCACGTCACGGGAGCCGTGATATATGATGACAATTTCTGTTGTACCTTCAAAGTACCTCACATTGTCCATTTGAGTTAATTAGAATAATGCAATTAAATAATTTAATACGTAGTATTAGTATTTATCAAAAATAATAATAATTTAATATTAGTAAATGATCAAATGATGATTTAAACTAATCAAAAGTATCATAGGTATAATGCACTCATGTAGTCATGTATTAACATTCATACGTAAATACGTAATGAGTACATCAGATTGAGAGCCCCTTTGGTAATACTAAAATTGACTGAATTGACTGATTTTGCTGAAATTTATGAAGTTTTGGCTGAAATGGTTGTATTGACTGATTCTGTTGATTCATGAAAAATTATATTTAAAATATTTGATATCAATAAATTAAATAAAAAATTATATGAAAAATAGCTAAAATGATCATCTACAGTAACTTCAACCAATACAACCAGAAAAGTAATTTCAACCTTACTTTTCCTGCTTATTACAAACTTCAACGTGCGAAATCAAAAGTTACGTGTTTGGTGAAAAATCTGGCTAATAAGCCTGATAAGTCAAAAAAAGGGGTCACCAACAGGCTCTGAATCTAACATTCATATGTGCATCAACTCATTTTTAGTGTTAATTGAGTAAACTCGTTAGATTAACAAATTAATGTGGTTGAGTTGGCTAACAGAATGCTGAGTAAGAAGAGTAAGTCGACCAAGGGGAGTCAATCAAGGTTATGACATCAACTTTCTGGAAGTCGATAAAAATTTGGAAGTAACCAAGGTTATGGTAACAACCTTCAGGTCAGTGACCTGCAGGGTGCATCAACTAAAGGAAAGTCGACCAAGGTTCTGGCGTCAGACCTTTAAAGGTCAGCCTACGGGGGTGTCGCCCTACAAGGGTGCATCAACTAAGGGGAAGTTGACTGGAGAAATAGATCAAGTGGCTGGGGGTTGGCGCCAACCTTCAAATCGATCTATTAGCATTCTGTTAGCCAATTCAGTCATATTAACATGTTAATCTAAGGTGTGTACTCAATTAAGACTATAAAATTGAGCTTAGAAATATCATATGCAATACAATGTATTATTTACTGGATTTCATACCAGTTGATTTCTGTACTTCATTGACCTTCATTCCATCATTTATTTGTGAGGTAGAGTGACATTTAGGGCGTGTATATACTCCGTATATAACTGCTATATATACGGCTGGCAATGAGTAAGAAAAGATCAGATCAAAGCGCGGAGAGAGGCAATAAAGTAAGAAAGAAAGGGGAAAAACGCAGGAAATGGATTGGATTCCGCAACAGCAAAGAGAAGAACAATGGAGCGGCAGCGGGATCATGGCTACGCCGCCGCCGCCGCCATTCCCACTGCTATCGATTTTCTGCATTGTCATCTTCTTAATCTCACTGCCTCATTATTTCCGGGTCGGGCCGCAATCGAACGAGATGCTGTTTCGGGCTTTCATCATCTACATGGTGCTGCCCATCGCCTTCATCTTCCTCCTGCGTTCCGGCAGCAGCCTGCGGCGGCTGTTTAGCTTCAGCTGGACCATGCAGAAGCCAAGAAAACATACCCCTTCTCAAAGTTCTGCCAGCACCAAACAGATGGCCAGAAGATGAGAGCTAGCTTTCATGGGGTGTTTCATTACTTTCTTAATTTTAAGGGAAAAAGGTGCAAATAGGCCCATGTACTAACAAAAAAAGGTCAAATAAGCCCTTATTTAGGAGGCTCTGTCCGGACGTCGCCATTTGGGGTGGTTCTCGGTGGAATTTTTTGATGAACTTTTTTGAGCATCTTACTCATTAAGTCTAATTTACTCATACCAAATTTCAGCTAAAACTTCAATGGGGAAGACATTCAAATGAATTCTTGAAAATAAATGTGCAGTTAGAAGCACAGTTATCTTCAAGAATTCATTTGAATGCCTTCCCGATTGAAGTTTTAGCTGAAATTTGGTATGAGTTAACTAGACTTGATGAATAAGATGCTCAAAAAATTTCATCAAAAAATTCCACCGGGAACCACCCCAAATGACGACGTCCGGACAGAGCATCCTAAATAAAGGCTTATTTGACATTTTTTTGTTAGTACATGGGCTTATTTGCACCTTTTCCCTAATTTTAATACCCAAAACAAACTTCTCATTCCATAAAAATAAATTTACCCAAATCAACTTTACCCTGTTTTAGTAAATGTCACAAATACAATACTTATAAGAAAATACTACTTGCACACATTGATTTATATGCCCAGGTGTAATTGTCTGCACATAATATTAATTTTTAATTTTAGTAAAGAGAAGTGTTTATGAGCCCGAATTGTGTGATCTCGAATTATTTGTGCATGAACAATTTATTTTTTGGGATCACAAACACTTTCCTTTATGAAAATTAAAATCAATTTTCTATGCGCAAACAATTAACTTTGGACATGTAACCTAGCGTGTACAATTAGCACGGTTGTACTTATAGTCTGTAATTTCTTTTGAACATGGGAAACGTAAATACGTACTCATATCTAATCCGTACTCATATATTTGTAATATACGATAGTATGTAATTTCATTTTCAATCCCAGAATTTTTCTATCAAGTGTTGATTATATATCCGTGTGATATTTTAAATAAAAATAACATTTGCGTACATATATGTGTCACAAATACTCTCTATACTCAACACAAGTAAGTTGAATGCGCAATGCAAGAGAGTTATTACTCTTATTAGGTGCTAATTGCCAAGTTTTAGGTGAAAAGAATTGTACGCAATAACTAAAACTTATATGAGCATATCTCATTAGCACACATTTGCGTGATAAAAGTCCGTACGTATTTCACTCTGTCATGTTCATATGGTTTATTTTTTTGAATTATTTTCTATGTGCCGCTTGAATCATGCGGAATGAATTGCTTCATAGAGATATCAGATATGTTTTGTTCTTTAAAGTATGAAGAAGATTTTGGGCTTGTTTGGCATTCAACGGTTACTCGGTTAGCGGTTGGCAGATAGCGGATTTTGTTAGCGGGTTGTCAATAGCGGATTCAGTCAGCGGGTTTGACTAACGGAATAAATTGGTGGGTTGTTAGAAGATGTTTGGTAATTTAGCTGTTTGACCATAAAATTAGTAGAATACAACATTTTTCAAAAGGTCAACCCAAAACTCTCTTATTAGCAGCGTTTTCATTTCAGCGTTTTCGTCCAAAAGCGCTAGTGTCGAACCACTATTTACCAAACAGCTTTTTCACTTATTAAAAACGCTGAAAGTGGTCAAACCGTCATTTTTCGATTGAAATGGCGTTTACCAAATACTCCCTTTATTTGAAGACAATGTCACCAGCTTGGTCTCTTTTTCTTCTTCTTACATGTTCTTTGCTTTTTTTTTTTTTTTTTGGATGAAATGTAAATATATATTAACACCCAAGCAAAATTTAACAAGTACAATGTGTCCAAAAATTCAAATTCTAAAGCCCCCCACCCCCTCCTATTTCGTGAGAAAAGGAGAGGGTTAGAAGAGGCTTTTAGTCTAGTCTAACTCCAAAATAACCAATACACGCGACCCAAAAAAATCTATGTCTATGACCGGTGCTACAAGGTGCACGCACTCGAATACAAACTGTCTAATGCCGCGGCATTCAAAAAAGTCTTGAATCTTCTCAAAAGTTGATCATCTCATATGGGTAGATACTATAGAGTATCTTGTAAACCATGTGCTTGACCTTTGCAACAACATCATCTTCCGTATTTTTGCCATCATCAAATCTAATAGAGTTCCTCGCATGCCATATATAGTATGCTGCGGCACAGAAGGCTAATCGGACTGCCTTCGCCTTCAAGTTTGCTCCTTTGTGGCTCTTCGAAATCCACTTGATCGCACTAAGCAATGTATTCATTTGATGCCCAAATCTCATCCAGCTTTTGATCCTCTCCCACACCCTACACGTGAATGGGCAAACAAAAAATAGGTGTGGAATTGTTTCCAATCCACCCTTGCATAGGTCACAACGATTCACGATATGGAGGTACCCGAGGCTATCCTGAGTGGGTAGCCTATTTCGTAGTGCCAACCAAACATTAAAAGAGAGTTTGGGTGGTATGTAGGATTTCCAAATGAAGCACATTGGGGTCCTAACAGTCCCCTTAATTCTCAAAAGTTCATAGATCTTGGCCGAAATCAATTTGCCATTAATGGATCTAGCGTTAAGGCCCATAATGGTTTCATTCAAATTATTAAAACACCCACGTATTTTATTACGTATTTGGTATAACCTCTTCAAGAATTGTGAGTCACGGCCGTGTGGAACGAATTCCCACACACTTTTACCCTTAAGGTAAACGCCATTAACCCACCTAACCCAAAGGGTATCCTTCTTCTTATGTAGGTCCCATAGTGTGCGAGAAAGGAGAGCGTCGTTCCAAACCTTAGCATTATGAATGCCAAGCCCCCCTTCCTCTTTAGGGAGACAAATGTCATCCCATGCCACTTTGGCGTACTTGCCACCCCATAAGAAAATCCTACATATGGAAACTATCCTATCCAAAATCGTTTGGGGAACCGGGAAGACTTGGAGCCAAAAAGATTGGACCCCTTGGATCACTGATCGGATTAGCTCCACCTTCCCAGCATAGGATATTGTTTTCGTATTCCATGCCTTTAAGAAATCATTGACCGTGTCAAGTAACGGTGCATATTGGGCAACTGATACCCTAAGGGGGGCAAGAGGGATCCCAAGGTATCTAACCGGGAATGTCCCTTGCCCAAAGTCGACGAGGTCCAACAAGCTATGCAATTCAAGGTCTCGCACACCCCCCACAAAAATGTTCGATTTCCCGTGATTTACTCTAAGGCCCGATACATCACCAAACTCTTTAAGGGTGTTAACTAATATTTCAACGGAATACGTATCACCCCTCGAAAAGAGCATAAGGTCATCTGCATAGGCCAAGTGAGTAATACCCAGTGATGCGCAAAGTGGATGGTAATTAAAATTCGCCCCTTTGGTTCTCATGGTGAGCAAACGGGAGAAATATTCGAGGCATAAGACAAATAATAATGGAGACATTGGATCTCCTTGCCTTATGCCTCTTTTTCCTTTGAAAAAACCATGTAACGACCCATTCAAGGAAACCGAGAAGGAAGCCGTTGACACACATTCAATTATCCAACCAACAAACCTAGAAGGGAAGCCCAACCCCTTTAGTACATTTTCAAGAAAATTCCAAGAAATGGTGTCATAGGCCTTACGCAAATCCACCATAATCATACATCTTGGTGAAATTCGCTTCCTATTGTATCCTCTAACAAGTTCCTGGGCAAGGAAAATGTTATCAAACATTAGGCGGCCGTCAACGAAAGCACCTTGTGCTTGGTTAATTAAACCCGAGAGGCAGGGGTTTAATCGTGCTGCTATAATTTTCGTAATGACTTTATACAACACATTAGTACATGATATGGGTCTATAGTCCGAAACTTTAGGTGAGTGATTAGTCTTAGGGATAAGTGCTATAATCGTATGGTTAATTTGTTTAAGCAACTTACCCGAATGAAAAAACTCCCTAATTGCTTGGACTATGTCATCCCCAATAAAGCTCCAATTTGCCTTAAAAAAGGCCGATATATATCCATCCGGCCCCGGTGCCTTATCATCTCCAATGTCAAACAAAGCATCTTTAATTTCCTTGTTTGTTATTGGAGCAAGTAGGCTATCATGAACACTAGGTTCAATCAAGGGGCCCTGACCTAAGACCATCGGGTCAAGGTCTAGGTTTTCCACTTCCGTACCAAATAAATCCATAAAAAATCTAACAAATTCACCACCTACTTGATCCAAAGAAGTGGTGAGACTACCATCTTCCAAGGATATGGATGATATTGCATTTCTTGCCATATTCCTCTTCATAATGGCATGAAAATATCTTGTACCTTTATCGGCCTCTAGAATGTGTGTGGCCTTGGCTCTTTGTTGATAGAAGCTTGATTCGGCCTCACCAAGAAATGTTGCACGTTTCCTAGCCGCCAATAATTGCACTTTGATCTCTTCATCTAGAGGTGATTCAAGTGCCAATTTATTCAATCTTTTAAAATCCTCCTTTGCTTTCTTTGCCTTTGTTGAGATATGGCCATATTCCAATGCATTGAGCTTTTTAAGCGGCCCTTTGAGCAACTTGAGCTTCCTCACAATCGAATACTGGGCTGTACCATCAACAAAAAGGCTCCAATTCCGCGCCACTATGTTAGCAAAATCATGATGCTTAATCCACATATTAAAAAACTTGAAAGGTTTCGGCCTTAATGAGGAATTATGGAGTATTGATATAACGGAAGCCGTATGATCAAACTCCGCCTCCATTTCATTGAAATGGGCCTTACAACCAATTCCGTTAAGTCCCCAAACATCATTTAAAAGAACACGATCTAGCTTAGCCCACAGGGTACCTCTATTCCATGTATAAAATTCTCCCGTAGAGGGAGCATCTTCTAAGCTAGCTCTGACTCTAAATTCAAATAAATGTTGCATCATGTACGCCGTAGGGGGGTTGGAACCCAACCTCTCATTTGGCGCACATACGCAATTAAAATCACCTGCGACTATCCAAGGTTCCCTAATTTGGTCACCTAACGTCACGAGATAATCCCAAAGAGCCTTACGCTCCAATACCGTATACAACGAATAAACAAGAGTAATCAAAAAGGTGGTTTGAGTAATTCGGCATATACATTGAACATGCATATATTGCGCTTCAATCTCTTTCACCACACAATGTAGAAAATTTGGGTTCCAAATGATAACCATTCGGCCCCCATTTATTTTTTCAAAATTATTTTCACTTAGCCAACCCGGCCATTTATTTGAAACATAGTTTTTAAGACAATCCTTAGTCATTTTCGTTTCTAATAGACAACAAAAATTCGCATTATTTATTTTAATAAGATTAGAAATACAAGCATGCTTGGAGGGTTTATGCAAACCTCTCACATTCCACACAATGGCTTTAATCATTATCATCCGAGTTGGAGGTGTGGCCGTCCTCCGATCCCGCCATCTTCTTCTTTTCCTCCCTTGCTTTTCTCCTCAACATCTCCTTATAAAACTTCTTGTTTTCTCTGGTATTTTCATCAAAGAAGGAAACAACATTAGGAATAAAAATAGAAGGTTCGAATTTAAACCAGTGGTAATGCCGCTTGACTCCAGGAAGTGTCTTTAGGCATTGGACCGTGAAGCTCATCCCCGAATGCTCCTTTCCATACACTTGCTTGAAATCTGGACCAACCCTACACTCAACGTGGCTAAGAGGTAAATCAGCCCTCTTCATGACATAAACGGTCCTCTTGCCCTTATCATCAAGCTCCCATTTAGTCACCACATCTTCATCATCCATTTCATAGACACTCCTCACAATATTGCCTCTGATTTCCTTTGGTTTGGTGGCATGAGAACACAGATCTGAAACAGTGGCAGCAGGTTCTTTTGGTGGAGATGCCATAGCTGAAACAGAGGCAACAGGTTCTTGAGAGGCCACAGCTAAAACAGTGGCAGCAGGTTCCTTAGGTGGTGAGGCCGGAGCTGAAATAGGGTCTGTCTTGGCCGAAAGTTCAGCCCCAGTAGAAGAGGTCTTGGCAGGTTCCTTGCCCTTCTTTTTTGTAGCAATGGCAGGCGACTCCTTGGTAGCTTGGGGGTTTGATGAAGATGCCTTATCCGGATCCTTGGGTTTGGAACTCCCCTTCCTTGG